TTCTCACCTCCTAACTATAGTCCAAATAAAGTTACGAACCCAAAAATTGTGTTTCAAGCATTTCCCTCTATAGCTTTTCTTGAGCAATTGCTGTCTGGCCTATTTGGAGAGCATAATTAAATCACATTTATTTCGCATAACATTGATTACAGAAAATTCTAGGGAATAATATGAAACTTTTTAGAGAATTAGTGAGCATTTTGAGAAAATACGAAGAAATTCTGGGAAAATATGGGGAAATTTAGGAAAAGTTTTTAAGGACATGCTGTTAATTATCACTTATAATTGCACAAGAGGTTTGTATTTTACCGAGTAAATTTGGGTTGTTTAGGTAATGAAAATCTGTTGCCTAGCAATTAGACGAAAAAAACTGTCAACTAATAAAAATGCGACACCGCAGGTGGAGCATTTTTAGGTTGACAGTTTTTCGAGTTCAATTGCTAAAAGGAAACAGATTTGAATTGCAACAACCCAAATTTACTCGGTTTAAATCTCGGTTTAAATACAAACCTCGAGTGTAATTCGGCAGGACAATTTAATGAACAAGAAATTCACCAAACTAATCAATTATTGACAGACGTCAAACTAGTCATATGGGTAAGGATAATGCGATTATTGGTTCGAAAATGAATAAGTGAAAAAACCACTAGTGCATTTGTCGCTGGAAAAGTTGCAGGTAACTTTTGCCGCTGTCAAAGTGACAATTCCACTGCGGCTTATGAGATTTTTTAGACATGAGTTGAATTGTCATGTGAAAAAATTGTGGAAGCCTACGGTAACGCAAGAAATTTCGGTAAACTTCTTGGGAAAGAGTAAGAAATGGCCAAATTTTAATAAATGAATTAGAGAAAACTATGATACATATAAGGACAGTCTGGGAGAATACGGTGGAATTATGGATAACGACAAAATAAATACGACGAAATTCTGGAAATAATGATTAGTAATTTTGGGAAAATGAAGAGCAAGTTCGAAGGAAATCGCATTAATCGAATAGAATCAATTAGGTAATACGGAAGGAAACTTTTGGGTCTCTCGAGGATTACAAAAATGTTGACGAAATAAGAAACATTCAAAGGAAATTGGGAAAATAAGAAGAAATAATGCAAGATGAATTGTAGATGTTCTGTAGGAATAATAAAATTCGAGTGGAAGAAATTCTCAGAAAATCTATGACGATTGAGAGGAAATGCTGATGAATGAAAATGAATGTGAGAAAGTAAAAAGCAAAATTAAAGGAAATGGCGGTTATATAACATTTTGGACATGAAGAAAATTGTGAGAAACGATGAAGAAATAAATCGATTTTAAGGCATTCTGGAAAACATGGAAGAATAATTAGAAAAAAAACCAATCTTTATATTAAACTTCACTTATAATTAGAGGGAATTCTAGAGAAAATATAAGGAGGTTTAGGGAACTTATGTGTGACGAAGAAATTCTCGGGAAATGACGGGGAAATTCTGACGTATCGAAAAAGAAGCTTAAAAAAAGGGCACGCTTTAAGAGATTACTTTGGCTAAATGTGCAAAAGAAATAAGAGGATACTGATTAAGAAAATTCTCGAGAAAGCTTTTGAGGTAAGGAAGTCGATTTTTAATGAAATGCTGTACAGAAATTCGAAAGTTTAATTTGGAGTGTGAAACTTTAATTTTAAATTTGCGGAATGAAACTTTTGAGGGATAAGCAAAATTAAAATTTGAATGTTGAAATTTGAAGGAAACAATGTGATGCATACGGTAGAAGTGAGCACTAAATTAAGCCACAAAGTTTGTATGAATCTGTTGAATGATTTGTAAACTTGTTGAATTCAATAAAAAAACCTTTGGAGACCATTAAATATAATTTACTTTACTCGGCCTATGAGTAAATCCACCTCCGAGTGTTAGTGGTTTTTCATGTAAGTGTTTCTTTTGATTGAACTGTTTTTAGAACTATTGATATTTTGAAAAGATTGAGCAGTTATCTGCAGCACTTCGATATGGACACTTTATTGATAAAAATGTTTTTGTCAATAACCTCTATATAAAGTGACAGTTTAAATACTCATTTGCGAACATAAAGTTGCAAATGTTATTGAAATTTCCCATGTGTACATTTTTCATTAAATTAGAATACCTTAAATTACATTCCTAAAATAGCACCAAAGCATTCTAATCGAAAAGGCTTTGACCTAAGTACAATTTTTACGATTTTGGATCAAGTAGTCCAAGGAAAATTGTAATGTACGAAAAAAATTGGCTTTGGGAAACTTTTTCGTCCTCGCACACAAATGACTATTACTGTACCATCGTACCTCGAGGAAGAAACTCCTGCGGCAGCAAAACGAAGGTTCAGTTTCAGTCGTACGACTCGTGCAGTTGAATAAGAATTGAATTAACGTCTATTATGTCAAATTTGCTGAATTAGTAACAATTCAGTACCTGCCAATTATTAATTGTAAATGCGAAACGCACACATAAATATGTTATTTCTCGAAACTACCAGGCGAACTATCAAATAGAAGGACCAATTCGCAAATGGATATGTTGTTTCATCGATCACTCACTTCCTCTATACGCTGCAGCAAGTTTGCTTGTTTTATTAAACTATGCGAACGAAATTAAAATCAAACTCGGGCGTCGGTGGCAAAGCGTCAACGTTTCCCTGTGTCATAATTAACAGACTAAATTCGAAGACGGTAGTCGCATTTCATGATTCAGGTTCAATTACCAAAGTTCCGTTTGAATAGTTAACCCGGCGTTACATTTCAATTAGTGCTTCATAATTGTAGTTATAACACACGCGAAACTTAATAAAGGACAATCAGCGCGTGTGTGTGTTTCCCATTTATCGGAGTTCGCCCCGTCTAACGAATCATCATATTAGCTTCGTAAAAATGTTGTGTAACAACACCGCATCGGTTTGCATATCAAATTCTACAGCCGTCTTCCAAGCAATCTAACCCTATGACTCCGTATTGCACCCTCGGGTCCGCTTACATTTGCATTGCTCTTGTCAGTCCATCTGTTACTCTTTG